GTTACTTTGCCATTGTCAGTAAAACACAAATGTTCCAAGGTTCCAAAAGATTTTATTTTATTTATTTATTTATTTTATTGTTTGTTTGCTTTTTGCAGTCATGCTATAGAAGAACCATTTTGGGTTCCCCAAAGAACCTTTTAGAAAGAACTTTTCCACTATAAAGAACTTTTTTCGCATTGTAAAGATTCCATTGCTGTTTAGGGTTTCTCATGGAATTATAGATGCCAATAGAGAGTGTGGTGGTGAGACGGATAAGGTTGGTTCTTAATATGCTTTTTAGTAGGCTAAAAAGCCACATTATGCATGTGAATGTTTTCAATGAACTTTGTTGGGACAGTTTAATGGGGGCCTCTAGTGGATACATTACTCACATCTTCTATATTCCCAAAGATTTGAGTAATGATCCTTCATTTTAACACCATCTAGAATTTAACTCAATATCATTTAGAGACATTTAATCAATGAGACCACCCTACATTATTCATTACTGACAGCTTGCTGAACACCTAGCGCTTAAAGCACTGCTGATATAATTAGTTGGATTGATTATCTCCTCCATTATAAGGTGTCTCAAGCTGTCACCTCACATTCTATTTAAGTTCACACTATAGGACTAATTGTGGTTGAATATACTGTACTTTTCACACTACAAAACAACCACTTACAAAATTGGAGGTGTAATCTTATCTACAAGAGGGTGAATCTGATAAAAATATGTTCATGGGATGAGATTTTAAAATGAAAAGAAAAAAATAAGAGATTATATTTTGCATAACAGAAATGAAGCCTATTGTTAGAACATTTTTTTTAATTCTGGCATTGTTTTAGTCAATTAGTCAACTTCCCAGCAAATTATCATTACTGTAATACATCTGGATATTTTACTTTTTAGTTTTTGTTTTTTTTACAATCATTTATATTTTTTTATGACAATACATTTATTTATTTATTCATTCATTCATTTTTTTTACTGAGATTAAGGGACTTTTTTTTTTTTTTTATCTCCCATTACTGTTAATGCTGATTCTCATTATTAAAAGTTATTGTAATGTAATACATACAGTATATATGCTAGTCAAATATAACCAACACAAATTCCAGAATAACATAAAACAATATATATATATATATATATATATACTGTAATCCAATACATATATTTATACTGGTCAAATCTATTTTAAACAACATAAATTCCACAATAACATGATAATATATAGTTTTTTTCCACAGCACACTTTTTACTTTGTTTTTTTTTTTTTACTACATTTTTTTCAATGCTGATTTTCATTATTAAAAAAATACTGTAATGCAATACATATGTTTATGCTGGTTGAATATATGAATTTATGGGGGAAATAATGTCACAAAATTTGCAATGGTTCTAAAGAAGGCTTTGTCATTAAGCAAAATATGTATCTTATTTATTTCTCTTGAATTTGGGGTTGAATGTGACCAAGACTTGTTCCTGACCTGTTTTATGACATTCACCCAATTACAGTAACCAGTTTTCCACATAAACCTCTCCCACCTTCGGGACATGACTTTTTTTTTAATTTTTTTTATTTTGACACATGAATTACCGATCGACTCTTGTTTCCTGAGGTGAATACTGATGCAGAGATGTTTTTGTCCTCTCCAGAGATTCTCTGAAGTGCACACGCTGAGGTCCGCCTAACTGATAGTGGAGGGCTGTGCTTTGAAGGAAGGCCATTGTTGAGCAGCACCTCTCAGCGTGCATTACATGTGGGGCTGTTACTGAGGGCAGGCGAGTGTTTAGCATCAGAGGCAGTTATGTGGGGGTGCGTGAGGGCCACTTCACCTGAACTAGACTGCTCTGATTGGCCTTCACATAAGAGCTTGACAGAGGTTTCCACACAGAGGAGGGCCAGTGAAGGCATCAGGGCTCTTCAGAATCAGTAATGCTTTGTGTGTTTATGTGTGCGAGAGAGAAAATGCATTGACACATGTTTTATTTATGCACTGCATCTGTATGTAAGTACTTTGAACGCTTTGGCAGATATTATTAATTCATGTTTATTTGGCTGTTCATTTAATATGTGTCTCTAAATTTGCTGCATCATTTGCTTATAGCTGCATTTAAATAATTTCATAATTGATGAATTTTACAACATTGTTATTTTACTGTTTATTAATGTGAAGCTGCTTTGAAACAATCTGCATTGAATAAAGCACTATTTAATAAATGTGACTTGAGTTTGATTCCAAAATCCTTATCATTTTGGGATTTCATTTATAAGGAACAAAACAAACTATGCGAACATTTTATGAAATAAAGAAAATGAATTCAGAAAAAATACTAGAGCTATATCTAAACTTTGTTCTAATTGGTATGTTGTTTTGTTATGTTGGTAATCACATTTTGTTGTTGTGCCAACTGAAATGAAGACTGACACAGTTTTTATTTTATCCAGCTGTATTTACTCAGTGCAACTTATAACATCCAAGTGAAAGATGTAACACCAACATGTCAGGAAAAAAAAAACAGAATCACTGAGGATCACCCCCTCCTAAAAATTACTTGTAAACTCACCTTCTCAATGGCACACAAACCCATTTGGCTTTCAACTGTGATCAGCTGTGGTCATTTTGATGAGCTCAGCATGAAAAGAGCTTTCCTGGAGCATTTTTTAAGTCCTTGGTAGTGCAACTGAAGTAAACTATCAACTATGGGTGGCAAGACACTGTCAAAAGATCTCCGGGATAAAGTTGTGGGCAGGCACAAGTCAGGAGATTCCAAAAAATTCCAAAGGCTTTATCAATGCCTCAAAGCACAGTGAAGTCTATTATTAAGAAGTGGAAGGTATCTGGTACAGCACAGACCCTCCCTGGATCAGGACGTTGCTCCAAACTGGATGAAAGAGCCAGGAGGAAACTGGTCAGAGAGGCGACCAAGAGGCCTACAGCAACTCTGAAGCAGCTGCAGGAATTTATGACAAAGAGTGGTAATTGTGTGCATGTGACAACAATATCACAAATTCTCTACAAATGTGGCTTGTATGGGAGGGTTGCAAGAAAAAAGCCACTCCTCAAGAAAGGCCACATGCAGTCAGACTGAGCTTTGCCAAAACACACCTTGAAGATTCTGAGTCAGATGAGAATAAAATCGAATTATTTGCCCTCAACACCAAACAATATGTCTGGGAGAAATCCAATACAGCTCACCATCCAAATAACAGCATTCCTACAGTAAAGCATGGAGGTGGTAATATCATGTTATGGGGTGTTTCTCTGCAGCAGGACAGGAGCACTTGTCAGGATAGAAGGAAAAAATTGATGGTGCAAAATACAGTTAAATTCTTGAGGAAAATCTGCTGCCCTCTGCCCGAAAGTTGTCAATGGGAAAAAGGTTTACCTTCCAACATGACAATGACCCAAAGCACACAGCAAAACTGAGCACACAGTGGCTGAAGGAGAAAAAGGTGAATGTCCTTGCATGGACTAGTCAGAGACCAGACTTAAACCCCATTGAAAATCTGTGGAATGACTTGAAGACTGCAGTCCACAAACGCTCACCATCAAATTTAACTTGAGCAGTTCTGCAAAGAAGAGTTGGGTAAGTATTGCAAAGTCTAGAGGTGGTTCAACAAAATACTGACACAAAGGGGTGATCCTTTTTCCAACTCAGTGATTCAGTTTTTACATTTTTTTCTGACATGTTGGTGTTACATCTTTCACTCGGATTTATAATTTTTACTGAGTAAATACAGCTGGATAAAACAAAAACTGTGCCCGTCTCCATTTCAGGCTGCGAAGCAACAAAATGTGATTATTCTACTGTTGCGTTACAGTATTGTGCTGTAATCCTACCAATATTGAGTCAAGTCTCCATCTAAGGTTACTGTAGAATGCTGCCTTAGAAGGCATCTGCCTATGTATGAAGACAAGACTGATCACAATTCAATATTCAAATAGATATAAGAAAGAAGACCAGTCACAACTGTGAATATGACTATTATGATGATGTGATGATGTCACTGTTGGTTATTTTGAATGCTGAGTGTTCCACACTCTTAAAAATAAAGATTCCAAAAGATGGTTTCCGCAGTGATCCCATAAAATAAACATTTGGTTCCCCAAAGAACCTTTCAGTGAACACTTCTTAACAGCACCATTTTTTTCAAAGTGTAAATAACATTTCAATAATCTAAAGAACCGTTTTCTACGATAAAAAACCTTCTGTGCAATACAAAGGTTTCATGGATGTTAAAGGTTCTTCATGGAACCACAGATGCCAATAAAGAACCTTTACTTTTAAGAGTGTATCAATGTTCTATGGAAGCTTATAGTTTACAAAAGTACACCCAAAACTAAAATTATCCACCAAACAGTGCGAATAAAGTCAGTATGTTAAATGGTTCAGGCTGAATCAATAGCTCCAGTTCAATACTTAGTGCCAGGGCTTTAGAACAAACCCTAAGCAGAATGTTTGAGGAATATTAATACAGAGCTGCCATGCACGCGTTGCGATAATCTCTTCAGCATTCCATTCCAGAGCTGCCCCACTTCTGTAATCCGTACATCATAAGACAGCATCAGACAGCAAGTGCAGTTTGTATTGTGTGGGCTGTCACACATGGAAATGGAAGAACACCAAAGTCTCGTTTCTGGTTGATGTTTTGTCTGGATCGAGATGCTTAGCCATTTAACAAAGCCTAATTACAGAAACGGTCTCCTTGGAGCACCATGTTCATTGGCACAGGTGAAAGAGCTGGATTGTAATGTCAATATCTCTCCAGCTCCTTGATCAGCCCATTTAATCGTGATTTTAGCTGCAACCTTCACGTTAGCATGCCAGATCTTTACCCATTACGCAACCCCCACACTATGGAGGTGGCAATGAAACCATTAGTGACCCAGCTGGAGTGATAAGATTGCAGTTAGATTCATCTAGCCTGCATTACTTATCATGCATGAAATGTTCATTTGGTCCAATGAATTGCTGTGACACAAATAGAGACCAACTTTGGACTTACCTTTGAGATGTGCTTTTGTACTTCTGCCTGTAAGACAAAAAATGGAAGCACATTAGCTTGCAGCCATAATGAGCACATGCCATGGGAGAAAGTAGTTTTACCTGTGTAAAGTTCAGGACTGACAAGAACATCATGCTCTGTTTCCAGTGTGAACAAAGCCAGGATCTCAAGGAATTCTCACTTTCCCGCTGCAGTGAATTAGTCATCGTATGAAGCTGCTGTTATCTGATGCGATTTAGACTGAAAATCTAGGGCTCTCGCTGAGCATACAGGCATTGGAACATATTGCAAATCATTAGCTAATATATTTCATTATATATCAAACCACCTGCATAATTAATTTTGCTTTTGATTGTGTTTATTCCAACTGGAAGTTTCTGACGAACAATTGTGGCCTGGACGTTGAGCAGAAGGGCCATTTCAACACATCCCAAAACAACACTGTCCACCACAGATGAGAATGGACGAGTGCGATCAGTAGAGATAGATGGAGTTCACCAAAGAGGATTGGATGAGCTTTGCATTGAGGTGATGGAGCTAGACTGGTTTAAATATTGGGGTCAGCCATTCAGTGACTCAAACTTCCACAAATTTGCTTTTGTTGTACGTCATAATGTCTGATTAAACTGCCTTCAGCACCAATGCATTTAACATCAGACTGATGGTTATTTATTAGGTATTAGGAAGGTAAATTACTGCCGTAACAATTATGAATTAATATTGTACATCATCAATACCCAATAAAGAGTCAAGAGAATATTATTTTGCTGCTGTTTTGAATATGAAGCAGGGTTATTAACTAAAACCAGAAAAAAATATACACATTAACTGAAAAAATTAAATATATCAAAAAAATTAAATTAAATAAATTTAAAATAAAACATAAAACTATGCAGATATATTTTAGAAAATGAATAAAAATGACAAAAACTAAACACAATTACAAAAACTTAAAATTACATTGGAAAATATAAATATAAAATCTAATTTAAAATATTAAAAAAAAAAACTATAACGGTATATCAATGATACTAGAATAACACTGATATTAATTTTGCCAAATGATTCATTATTCAGTCATTATGACAGAAAAATAAGCTGAAATGCTTAGTTAATATTAAATTTCACATCAACTAACGATATTTATAAATATTCCAACTACAGTGATTGTGGTTTTATGCATCTAAGGGTATATCCTTTTATTTCTGTTTGTAGTATCAAGTGTGATAAATTATATATTATTAATTACTGTGGCTGAAATATAAGTGGAATTTTTAGTAATCTTTATTATGTTAAATTATCATTAAAGTAGTGCTGTATTGTGCACAACACTACTATTAGCTATAATTGTACTAACTACAGAGTTTGTGGTGCAATGTTCGATGTCTGCATTAAAAATTTAATCCACAAATGATGTTTGGATTGTTAAAGTTTCTCCACAAAATGACACAATCCAAACACTGCTGAACCGAAACACTACAAGAATGATTTGAATTCATTAAGCAAAACTGTCAGTAGAAGCAAGTATGTGAACAACATCATTGCTTGATTAGCCTTGACAGTCTCATTAGTATTACATTCACACACTTGCTGCCCCAAGAGTCGAGATTCACCCACTCCCAGCATCACAGCGTACAGTGAACACAACCACACTGCTCATAAACAGCTCTGCCGTTCCCTCTCTTACCAGGAATCAAACCGAGTGCTAATGAAAGAGTATGAAACAAGAAGCACTTACATTCCTTTCAGCCTAATCCACATCTTCTCCGTCTGGTCACACTTGGAGTACTTCAAGGAGTTCTCCAGTCCGTCCGTGTCGTTGGCCAGAGAATCCATGGTTTGCACGAATGCACAAGCGTGTGGAGTGTTCTAAGATGCAGAGGGATACGCAGGTATGAGATTCAACACGTGTAGCGCAGAGATCCGGGTCTTCAAAGCATCTCCGGCAGTTCGAGCGACACACGTTTCCCAGAGGGTCCTGCTCGCAGCTCCAAAGCGCATCAGCCCGTTTGAGTGAGTGTCAGCGCACAGACCTGTCTCTACACTAAGCACTGGGGGAACGCTGTCACAAACACACACACACACGTCACACAAATGTTTCTCTCTCTCTCGCTTGCTCTCCCACTGACCGGAAAAGCAGCGCTGTGCCTGATGAGTAGCCTATCTATCTGAAAATTTCACCCTCTCGCTCTTTCACCCTGTTGTTCTCAGCCTTTCAATCAGTCTATGATGGAGGCTGCGCTGCCTCCTCTTGACATCTCTAATCTCATGCATTTATACAAACACGCACACACCTTAACTACCGAAATGGGCACCCCTGTCGCCCCTCAGATGGAATCCGTTGGCTGGAGACGAAATGGTTCAGGCAGATCAACGGTTTCCCCCTCCTCTTCCGCACCAACGCAGAGGGAGAAGGAGAGAGAATCTTCTCCTCAGTCCTCACATCCTCTCCAGCATCATCATCCCGCCGAGATTCACCTGCCTTCCACCAACACGCCGTTCCTCATCATGTCATCGTGAAGCCCTCATATTTTACCGCGACTGAGCTGAGCAATAAACTCCCCCGGCGGCACTCCTGGTCCCGGGTTGGCATTTTAATGAAATTAACCTGCACGCTATCATCCCGCGCTCATCTCGCGCCCGGCAGCCTAGTTTAAACATGCTCTAATCCCCTCATTCCAGCGCAGCTGCAAGAAGCAGCGAGCTGATAAAAATTTCATGATTGTTTGTGAAGTACAAAAGGGTTAATTAGGCAGACACACACTCAGAGAGACCGTGAAGGGTTTCGGAGGACAATAAAATCAGCAAATGTGCTCCAGTCCGAGACAAGAGCACCTTGCCTAACATAGCAGCACCCCTATATCTCGTTTCTGTAAATAAAAAGGGAATTGTGGGATTGTTTCAGTGCTTTTGCAGCCTGGCATGGCTGATTTTCATTCATTGGGGGAAGGGCACATCATGTCCTGCCTACGGAGCATCCGCGGCATGAATAGACTGAATCCTAATGATCACTTCTTCGGGGATACCGGTCTATTGAATTACACTCTACAATGTAAAACAGCTTAATCATTGCTGCATTAGCATAGGAACAAAAAAAAAAATCTAGTTCATTTCATCACATATATGAAATGAAAATATTCTGAGCCTCTGATGACTGTAAATCCTTTTTTTATTTCAGACAGTTGCCATGCCATTTTCTGTAATAAGATAACCACGTTTAGTTAAAATTGCATTAAGTGGAAAAATAGCCTCTCGACTCAGTTTTTATTTTCTTTTTAATTAGATATTACATTCGAATGTTTGTTGACTGTTGGACGGTTGATTTAGCCCTTTGTTTCATCTAAAACAGTTCTGATAAATGGAAATGCATAAAATGGGACATTGTGTGTGTGTAAGTAAAACATTATTTATATTCACTTTCAGCACTAAAACGGTGATTGATGAAAGGTGTTGCCATGGCAACACACACTGCCATACAAATGGCTTTGGAGGGAATGATTACGGCTGTAAAAGAATGACTTGAAGGTCTCATGGAGAGACAGACGCACAGACAGAACAGAGCAGAACAACAACTGTGTTGGGTTATCTATAGAGGTCCACTTATCCCGTATGATTGTCGCTGTGATGATGGTGATTATCGACTCAGAAGTGCAAGTAGGACAAGAGTAAGAAGGTGCAGTTTGATTCAGCACATCAGGGAAGCTTTTGTGCTCGACAGCTAGCGAACGATCAGTAAAGATTGTTCAGAGACGATCTAGAGACACATACAGTACGATCACCTAAATGGTTCTTGTTGTGACGAACACTTCCAGGACATCCTGATCTGTCATACCATTGTAATTCGTTAAGTCAGAGAAGTGTCAACGGTTAGACAGTGCACAGAAATCCATTAACCAAACACAATGGCTCTGCTCCAATAGCGAGCTGCCTTGCTGTCTACTGCCTTTTAAGGCAGCGTTCTAACTGAAATTAAACCTTGTATGTGATTGATTTGGAATGCTCTACATATGGAGCAAATCTATGTTATATCAACATTGCTTCTTATGCAGAGCACATGGGATACTTGACTGTTTTAATTCAAGAGTTAGTGCTATGTTGCTAAGATAGCAATGATATAGTCACACAAATATTGGGTAAAATAGTCTTTCTTTGTATTGAATGAATTATGTCTATATTCTTTTCCTCATTTTGGCCACCATCTTTAATGTTTTTATCACCAAGCTTGTAGTAATGTATTTTGTCAAATGGTCTTTATAATACTGAATCAGTGTTGTTATTGTTAACTAAAAGTAAAAATTAAATTTTTTTTTTTAAATGTTGTGTTAACTGAAAAGCTGAAATAAAATATATGTATTAGAACTTAAAAAACAAGTAGAAATGTTGAAAATAAGTTGAATATTAATAAGTACTAAAGTTAATAATAATAATTTTTTTTTTTAAATGTTGTGTTAACTGAAAAGCTGAAATAAAATATATGTATTAGAACGTAAAAAACAAGTAGAAATGTTGAAAATAAGTTGAATATTAATAAGTACTAAAGTTAATAATAAAAAATAACAATAAAAATAAAATAAATGAAAGCTAAATAAAAGTGTTAAAAAGAACATAAAATTACTAAAACTAAAAGTGAAATAGAAAAAAAATATCTGAACATATAAAAACAAAAGCTAATTCAAAATATGGATAAATACTATATATAGTACTAAAAATAACACACTATTGAATGAATTATATATTTCATTACATTTATCTTTATTTCATGTCTTTTTATTTATTTATTTATTCATTTATGCTGAGCAAGTGGCAAAATATGGATAAATACTATATATAGTACTACAAATAACACACTATTGAATTAATTATATATTTCATTACATTTATCTTTATTTCATATGTCTTTTTATTTATTTATTTATTCATTTATGCTGAGCAAGTGGCAAAGTGTCGTGATTGTCTTTTCTGCAAAAGATACATGTGATGCTGCCTTATAATTTGGCCAATAAAAGGCATCTTAAGAGGCAGCATGATCTTACTGCCTAGGAAGGAACATAGCCACTGTTTTGATGAACTTATAGTGTTTCAGAGATCATCACTCTTTCATTCAGGGCTTTATTCTGTGGCAGAAGCACACATCTGATACGGGGGTGGATGCGGGTCACGTGTTCATGCATGTAAACAGCCATCACTCAAGTGTGTTAATCACTGCAGTGTTATCTGAAACGCCAAACCTTCACTTTTATACAATGACAAGCTCCAGCCTCCAGAATAATGGGGTGAATCTCACAAAACCTGTCCAGTTCATATTTCACCTCAAGATCAAAATAAACAAAAAAATGAAGTATTTATGTGTAGAGAAAATTGATTTTTGGGTGTATATATATGTAACCCTGTCTGTGAAATCCAGGCTAAAGTCTCAAAATCTAATTATGAGATAACAAGCGTCAAAGTTTGATTTCAACCATTAATTTCACTATGATTACAATCTTTGACATGGCCTTACTCAGTCAATATTAAATATATAAAGGTTATATTTTCACAGAATGTTCTACATCTTTATGAAGGTTGATTTTATGTAGAAAACAGTAAATCACAAAAAAATGACTTTAGCTGGGTTTTCACAGGCAGGGTCATATATATATTATTTAAATCATAAAGCATTAAAGTTATACATCATGGTAGCACTTGTTATACTTTGTGCCTTGATAATGTATACATGACAATTTAAATAAATAAATAAAATCGTTGTACTGTATTACAGTAAAGAGAATCAAATGAGATTCACCATTGATAATAATGGAAATTCTAAACAATAAACTCAAAAGTAAATATCTAGATCCATTACATTAATAACAATTTGAGGGCAAAATGTATTTAATTTGTCATTAAAATGATGAGACGAGAAACATCTTAGTTTTTAATATTATATGAATATTAAACTAACATTATTAACTAACGTTAATAAATACCATAATATTAATTATAATACTAATAGATGAATATAATATGAATTTGTTTTTATTTTTATATTTCTTTTTTTTCATTTCAATTTTAAAGTTTTAGTAACACTTTTGTCATTTTTTAAATGTCTATATAATTTTTATTTCAGTTTTAGTGTTTGTTATTTTAGTACATCAAGTTAAAGGGTTAGTTCACCTAAAAATGAAAATTAGGCTACGTTTTACTCACCCCCGAGGCATCCTAGGTGTATATGACTTTCTTCTTTCAGACGAATCCAGTCGGAGTTATATTAAAAACTGTCTTTGATCTTTCAAGCTGTTTAATGCCACTCAGCGGGTGTTGCATTGCTTCAGTCCAAAAGAACTTAAATAAAAGTCTCCCATCCATAAAAAAAAGTGTCTCACACGGCTCCGGGGGTGAACAAAGGCCTTCTGTAGTGAATCGATGCGTTTTTGTAAGAAAAATATCCATATTCAAAGCGTAATAATCACTTGAATCTAGCTTGCGCTCACTGTTGTAAAAAGAAGCAGTTCGGGGGAATGACGTACGAGGTCAGCGCTGCGCATGCACCGCTCAGAAGTGACGGACGCGGAAACACAGCAGAGAGATCAAAACAAAACAACAGTCAAGCATTAGAAGTACAAAACGAGTATTTGTAAAGAAGAATGTCAGAGGATTTCAATATAAGCCAAGAGGAGACTGGTTTTCCTTTGCTAAAGTATAAGGACACTTTGCTTCCTTTGCTCCTGTAAACAAAGGTTGGTTTTCACGAGACTCACCGGCGCATGCGCAACGCTGACCTCATACGTCATGCTCCCAGAACTGCTTCTGTGTACAACTGTTGGCGCAAGCTACATTAAAGTGATCATTATGTTTTGAATATGGATATTTTTCTTACAAAAACGCATCGATTCGCTACAGAAGGCCTTTGTGCACCCCCCGGAGCCGTGTGAGACACTTTTTTTTATGGATGGGCGATTTTTATTTAAGTTCTTTTGGACTGAAGCAATGCAACACAACACAACAAGACCATTTTTAATATAACTCCGACTGGATTCGTCTGAAAGAAGAAAGTCATTTACACCTAGGATGCCTCGGGGGTGAGTAAAATGCAGCCTAATTTTCATTTTTGGGTGAACTAACCCTTTAAACTAAATGAAAATGAGAAATGTTGCCTTGGCAAATAGCTGTATGAAATTCAAAGAGTTTTTTTTTTTTTGTACAATATGGTATAACATATATAACATATAATTTTTTTTTTAATAATTTTAGGGTGAAATGAGACCTGGGGATGTTGTAATTCACCCATATTCACCCAATGACCCTGATTTGTCATTTACAAACATTTGTTTTTAATCTTGACTGCTCTCAGTTCATGGACGGATGTGCAGCTTTGACGTCAGAGAACAATCATCATCAAGCAGGTTATTGTAATAATGTGAGAGTGGGTGTTTCCTTTTGTTTGTCCTCTTAATTAAATTGAGTTTTAAAAGCCAAAAGCTTAGACAATGTTTATCCCCACACCCAGACAGCATGACATATGCTGTATAATAAATTTGACACTTTAAATACATGGGCGGCTAATGTTTAATTCAAATAACTCCTGACAAGCTTGGCTTTTACTTACTTATGACAGCTTAAAACTGAAAATGCATTGGAGATTTTATACATGTG